AAAATTATATATATATATATATAAGGCAACTATTATATTTAAATATATAAATTATATTTAAAATTTATATAAATAGATATTTTTAAATATATAAGTTATATTTTAAATTTATGATAAATAATTTATATTGTAGTGTAAAATTATTTTTATTATTATTAAATTATTTTAAAATATTAAAATTAAATTCACAAATAATTATGATAAATAAAAACATAATTAGATAAGAAGTTAAAATATTTTTTTAAAATTTTCATTGAAAAAAAATCATAAAAAATATCCTTAGACAGAAAAGGCATTTATGTTTAATATATAAAAATTGATTTATTTTTAAAGTTAAAAAAATAAATTCTGCACATGTATAACTTTCTAAAAAAATTAGGGGAACTTGCATATAATGTCTTGAGTTATGAGTTTTTTTGTCCCCTCTAAATTTATAATTTGAATTCACTGTCTATAATTTTCCAATTGTTATTAATTTTTGTCTTCTATGAATTAGTTTCTCTCTTATATTTTAACCTACATGCATACCAAAACATGTGTCAATTTCTGCTTTAATTGCACCAACAAATATCTTATTTTCTCTTTTTTTTCTTCTTATATTAATTTCCCCGGTTTCTTCTCTTGAATCCGTGGTCCATTACCCCTTGAAGATAAGGAAAAGAATACGACACAAGCCGACCTCTATAAATTTGATTTTGACACTTTAAGACATGGGAATCCATATCACAAAACAGCTTTTATAAGAGACATTCCGTCACCTTCTGAATCCCTTCTTTTCACTTTTATTTTTCCATATCAAACGAATTTGCTTTTTGGCTCAAGAATACGTACGTATGTTTAACGGTTTAAGAATAGGGAAATCATGAGAGAACACCAAACTTCAGTTCACACATGATAAGATAAAATGAAATGGTGGATGCTAATAAGGCGTTTGAAACATATCACTACTTTTAAGAATGAGATTTTGAAAAGAAAGAATTCATTTTTTTTTTTATTTAAACAGAGATAACAATCAATGAGGCTGTTTATACTTGTTTTTTAAGCTACAATGCAAGACAAAAGCCACAATCATCAAAATTTCACCAACCCAATTCTTTCACATAAACACGGGCTACAGAAAAACATGAGTGAAAGTGAATAGTAGCGATATGATTCGTATAAACTTCATAAGAAAAATATAGAATGTGAACATCATTATTTTTTAAATGATATATATATATATATATGCGTGTGATAGATTTAGATTTAATAATGTAAAATTTCACATAGGATTATCATAGGGTGGGGCCAATATCAATTATGATAAGTCTTAATTTGATATATAAAAAAAAATATTGTGTGATAGGACTATTTTATCTATACTCAGTAACATAATAAGTTCCAAATTGATGGTTCAAGAGGCATTAGCGTTGGAGCTTAGTTACAGCTGCTAGCTGTTGTCTTGCATACAACACAAGACACCGAATAAAACATAAGTACTGACTTTAACAGTTATTGCATGCAGTATAATAATAAAGAAAAGAAGCTAGGGTGTTTGGTGCATGAGAAAGAGGTTAATTCATGATGTTGGCAGAAGCCCTCTGGTGGCACTCTCACACAAACACACACGGGTCTGGTTATGACCTTTTACTTTCTTTCTTCTGAGTCGCAGCTTCCTGCTACAACACCGTTTCACCTTTCACCTTTCACTAACCACTTTTCTTCTCTTTTCTCACATATCTCAGACCCCTTCTGAGCCATGAAGCAAAAACCGCCATCTTCACCAACCACTGCGTTGAAGAAGCAAAGTGACAAGTCCCTGCAGAGTCCACCACCGCCGCCACCACGCCTCAGGGCTTCTTCCAAGGCTCCAAAGTCACCGCCAGTGCCCCCAGAGTTGAAGAGCGTGTCAAGGGCCAAAAGGGGTGTTGTGAATGTTGGGTCTCAGAAGGTTGAAGAGGCTAAGGTGGTTGTTGTTGCTAGGCCTCGGCGAAGGGTTGGGGATTGCGGTTTGAGGAAGAGTGAAGAAGATGATAAGCAGAAGAAGGAGTTGGAGGAGAAGCTTGAGGTGAGTGAGAATTTCATCAAGAGTTTGCGGTCTGAGGTTGCGGAATTGAGGGAGGAATTGGATAGAGTTAAGAGATTGAATGTGGAGCTTGAGTCTCACAACACAAAACTCACTCGGGATCTTGCTGCTGCTCAAGCTAAGATTCCAACTGTTGGCACCGGCAACAATGGAAAGGTGAGAATTTTAATGGGTAACAAACATTAAGTCTGTTTGGATACAAACTAGAATTGTTTCGTAAAGCTTACCGATTGGAAAAGACTACGTATTTAGACATGGTATTCTAATCATGTATAAAATCAATATTTATTAACTCTTTCTAGTAAACTGAAAAACTTTCTTGAATTTTGACCATTTGTCAAGTGGAGATTGACTAGCCATATAGTCATATAATAATTTCTCGAACTTTGAATGCCCTTCAAAAGTTTCAATTAATTGTTGTTTTTTTTATTCTGTTTGTAATTTCAAGTGTGGTTGGTTAATTCATTTGTTAGGAATATCAATCACTGTTTGATTGGATTTTCTATGTTGTTGGTTGTTGCTATAAATCTGTACTATGGTACAAAACTGAGATCAAATATCTGTTTTATACATAAAAGTGCTTGGAAATGAATCTGTTTTTTTTATTTCTTGGGTGAAGAAGGAGCCAATTGGAGGACACCAGAGTCCCAAATTTAAAGACATACAGAAACTCATTGCTCACAAATTGGAACAGTCTATGGTGAAAAAGGAAGGTACTCCTGAAGTAATTTTTTCTAAAGCATCAACCCCAGCTCCAACACCAAGTTATCATGCCATTCCTGAAACCACAAGCATAGGAATAAAATCTCCACACAATACATGCTTGCAACCACCACCGCTGTCACCACCAATAACAAGTGTAGGAAGAAAATCTCCACCCAACACATGCCTTCAGCCACCTCCACCACCCCCGCCACCACCACCAATTCCGTCCCGGCCTTTGGCAAAATTAGCTAACACCCAAAAGGCCCCTGCCATTGTTGAAGTATTTCAATCCTTAAAGAGTAGAGATGGGAAGATGGACTCAAAAGGATCGGTGAATCATCAGAGACCAGTAGCTATTAGTGCACACAGTAGCATTGTGGGAGAAATTCAAAACCGTTCAGCTCATCTTTTAGCAGTAAGCTTAGCATTCAATGTGTTTTTAACTTCGAGATGTGTACTACTAATTAATGAGAGTAACAGCGACCATTCTTTCCAGATAAGGACAGACATTGAAACAAAAGGAGAGTTCATTAATGAGCTCATAAAGAAAGTAGTAGATGCAGCATTCCAGGATATTGAAGAGGTCCTAAAGTTTGTGAATTGGCTTGATGGCAAACTATCATCACTGGTAAGTTTCTAACAAAATTATAAATTTAGAAGGCCAATGACTACCATTTGGGCTGTCAATATGTATTAATTTGTTATTAACTTATTATTCAAAATATCAAATTGGTTTGATTATCATTTTGATCCCTTAAACCTTACATTTTAGCCCCTATAATTAAAAACATTTAATTTTAGTCCCTATACCATACACTTTTTGTTTCATAAACTCTTCCTTTTAGTTCCTATAGCAATAAACGACAGTATATATAGGGACTAAAATTGAACTTTTTAACTATAAAAACTAAAAGATAAAGTTTATAAAACTGTGGGGGACCAAAAGGGTAATTAATCAAGCCTACCAAATTCTACTCCACTTATAAGTTACTATAACACGCAGGTTAAGAAAATTAATTATTTGTTACTTTGATATTTTATATACTATTGTTTCTCTTTCTTTTGGATTGGGGTATGATGGGGAAATAATAATTAATGCCAAAATGACAGACAAGTTGTTTTTTTTTCCCTTCAAAAGTGGCATACAAGAAATTGAGGGAATACTTTTTTTTTATCTGTACACTGAAAGATAGGCTCATTGATTTAGCATTTAATGTCATCCCCCCTTCAAGTTACCAAGACAAAAAATGGTTCTACTATTATCTATCAATATTTTCTTGTTCATTGAGTTTTACTGGTACATTTAGTTTATCTTCATAAATGATCTAAAACCCTACAAGGAAAGGGGGTTGTGCAGAAGTTAAGATATTAAGTATAAATGTTTATTTTAACAGTATACATGTAATGAAGTTTCATCAGTGAATGCATGAGTACAAGATTCGTAAAAGTATGCAAGTGTTAAATAACACTTGGTTTCTTAGTAGCTTTGTATCTTGTATTCTGCAGGCTGATGAACGCGCTGTCTTAAAGCATTTTAAGTGGCCTGAGAAGAAAGCTGATGCAATGCGAGAGGCAGCAGTCGAGTATCATGAGCTTAAAATCCTAGAACAGGAGATTTCTTCCTACAAGGATGACCCTGACATTCCATGTGGAGCTGCCTTAAAAAAGATGGCCAGCCTATTGGACAAGTTAGATATATCTCTAGAAAATGTTCTTGTTTACTAATTAGGATTAAATATGTTTTTAGTGACCAAACTTTTATCAATTTTCACTTAGTTACTGAACAAACTTTTTTTACTAGTTTGTTTAAAGGCTAAAAGTGAAAATTGACAAAAATTTGAAGACTACAAATATATTTAACCTTATTAATTACTTATGAGGCATATTTACATGTCAGCAATACTAACTCTGTTCCTCATTTCATCTCATTGTGATAGGTCTGAGAGGAGCATACAGAGGCTAATCAAGCTAAGAAATTTGGTCATACATTCATATCAAGTGTACAACATTCCAACTGCATGGATGCTTGATTCTGGAATAACGAGCAAGGTATCATTTTTTAGGCTTTAACTCTGAAATGAGAACAATGATCAACGTTCAAATTTTATTTGAATGATATAGTGATTGTTTAAGCTATTTTATGTGAACATATATAGCTCTTGATGTCAACTGCTTTGTATAATGTATAGTTGGGCATCAATCTTTCAGCATTTAATCCCATCCCTCCACCATATAATGTTTTGCATTTAATCTAGATTCTACTGGGTGTAAATGACACACTAAGCTACATGAAGGAAGCATTTTGTCTAGATGTGTTACTCTATAGAGTGTTTTCTTAAATCTAGGTTTGAGTCTAATTAAATCCTACAAAACTCTCAAACCCACATTATTGGGTTTCGGATGCATTTTTTCTTCTGTTGTCTTTTGTGAATTAACAGGAAAGAGT